TTTTTTTTTTTTTTTTTTTTTTTTTTGACCTTGTAATATCCACCGTATTCTCCAGGGAATTTACTTTAGCAGAATCAGCATTGTTCAAGCTCAAGCTGATTATTGGATTCCGTCAGCGGTAGATTTTAGAACTGGTTGATTCGTTTATAATGTTAAATTGTTAGTGACATATGCCAAAGAGTCAGAATCGTTTGTGACTTGTTTGTAAGCAAACCCATAAGTTAAAAGCTCCTGAAAACCTCGCTGGTTGCTGCTGGTAATGTGCCAAGTCTTTGGTACTACTTCCGAGTGCTTCTACCACGCCTAGAAAGTGAAATGCAAAAGCGTTTTCACTTTCTCTTTCTTTCTAGCAACAGCTGTTTAATAGAGCGCCATACAAAAGTGCATTATGTTGCAAAACGAGCTAACACTTTTGCGTCTCAGAACTGAGTTGAAAATTTTCTATTTGCTGACTGAGTTGTTTTTGAATCATCACATTCAAACGCGCATTGAGGATAAATGATCGGATGTCGGGATAGCTGCAAGATGTCAGAAATGAAACGTCTTAAAATTCATGGTGCATTTATTTCAGCCCTATTGATCGGCCAGGAAACAAAGTGCACTGCTAATGCTACGCCCTCAGAACTAGGCTTGGTTTTTCTAGCAACCAGTTGAACTGAAAACTATTTCGAAATGCCACGACTTCCGATTGTGGTGGACGGCGATTGCGATTCACGCTTCGATAAAGTTAAGCAAACTTTCCAGTAAGTGGATTACAATTCACCAAACTCCTTTCGCAGTTTTCTCAGTGAAATTTTCGATTTAGCTTTTTTCTAAGAAAAAGTTTTATTTTTACCCTTTTAATTGCTTTCGATTATGCGAAATCAAATCGAAGTCTGAAACAACAGTCTGCGAAAGGGACCACTGAAAAAATGGACATGTAATGCGCGTGGGAAGAAAAATATCAGTTGGGCGCTCCTCAGGAGACACATATGCACAAGAAAAATAATCACAATAAATTTTTTAAAGCATATGTTCCATTTAAAATAGCTAAAGCTGCGCTTGATCGCACCTTAATAAATCTGTAGCTTCGTGCTGAAAGTCTGAGTGATCGTGGCGTCCTTTGATAACTTTAAAATTTACTCTGCTTTTCTGCTAATAAAACTAGTTCCAGCAACAATTTCACTCAACGATGGGAGAGCGAAGGTGCAGCATTCGCGGTGTACCTGGACGGGGAGAAAGTGGTGGATTTGTGGGGTGGATATGCCGATTCGAGTTCGTGTCGAAAGTGGAAGAGCGATAC